TATTAAGGTGAAACTTGAATAACTTTATGTTAGTATTAAGGAAAAGCAAGGAAGATAAAGAATAATGTTTTGAAAAGCACGTCTAGGCGAGAAGCGAGGCGAAACGAAGAGATCTCGCCTTGAAGACCCCAGACGAAGCGAATATGAGTGAAGCAAGAAAAAAGCGAGCACCTTTCGCTTAAGCGAGAACGCCTGAGGTATTAGAGGCGAAATTGTTTTATTTTTATTATAGACCGTTAGATTGAGCAATTAGAAAAAAAATTATAAGATGTTGATACACCGAATTATCCCTTATCCCATAAATACAATCCCAAACCCATATTTTACTCAGATTACTTCGCTACTCCTACTCCACAAGCTTGATCGCTGGACACAGACACACAAAACCACTTTAACCACAGACTCGATCGCTGGAGCTAGACACAGAACACCCACAGTCAATCACTGGAGCTGGACACAGAACACCCACAGTCGATTGCTGGACACAAAACACAAAGTCGATCGCTGCTCCTACACGATCGACAGAGTCGCTGCCCCTACCTGATCGACAGAGACGCTAATCATTGTTGATCGATAGAGTAGCTGATCGTTGCTCCTTCTAGACAGAGACTCGATCGCTGGAGGTTAGTCTCCTCTTTTTCTTCTCTCTCTGCTTCTGCTTCTTTTTTTTTTTTTTGCTTATGTTTTTTTTTCTTGATTCTGCTCCTTTTTTTTTCCTAATTCTGATTCTACTCATGCCTTTTTTTTTATTGTGCTCTTGATTCTGCTCCTTTTTTTCCCTGATTGTGCTGTTGTTTTGCTGCCCTACTATTTTCTGATTGTGTTGTTGTGTTGTTCTGTTTTGCTGTTGTGATGCTGTTTTGTTATTTTGTTGTGCTGTCCTAAAATGTGATTCAATACATGTGTATATAAACCTATGAATGTACATAAAAATAGATTTACAAAAACAACTATGGTTAATTGATATACTTATATTTTTAAATATTAGGATTTGAGATATTATTAGTGTTTGTTTGAATTTAAATATTTAAGCTATGACTGTTATTAAGATTTGAGATATTATTAGTGTTTGTATTAATTTAAATGTTTTATGGTTTTATTTGTATTTAAATATTTAGTATATATAAAATTAGAACTTAGATGTTTAGAAGTAATTAAACTAATATATATATTTTTTTTAACTGGTCGCTTCGCTTCTCACTTCTCGCCTAGGCGTTCGGAGCCTTGATCGCTTCGGTTCGTTTTACGCGTTAAATAACACTGATAAAGAGTATGAAATAATATTGTGCGCAGGGCGTGTATGTTACCAGCACCCTAGCACCTATTTATATTAGATTGATACTTAAGACAATTACAATATTAGGAAAGTAGAACATATAAGAAAATCACATAATAAAAAAGTATAACAATAACAAAGTGACATAATAGAAAAGTAGAACAACATGATAGTAACACTAACACTCCTCTTCAAGTTGGACCATTGAGAACAAAAATGCCCAGCTTAGAATAAAAGTTATGAAAGGTGAACCGCGCCAATGATTTGGTGAGAAAATCACTAAATTGGCATCACCATCTCCACATAGAAAATAAGGCTGATAAAACTAAACTCTAGGTGATTGCTTTAAATCATTCAGACACTTTTTTAATTGACACACTAAAGTAGCAATTAATAACCACACCAAAACAAGCAATATCAAACGACGATCACAACAACATTGAGTAAAAGGACACGGTGACACTAAGTAAAAGGATATAGAGACAACAAAGGACAAACACAACACCACAAGCACTACCAACAACAATGTCGACATAAATGAAGACAACCAACAACACCACAAGTAATGACAAATTAGACCATAACAACTAAAAACAAGATAAACCATTCAGAACCAGAGTTGAATAAGCCCAAAAAGAGGTTGAACTAGCGATAAAAACTAGTGTTATTAGAACTGAACATGACTGACAGGTTGACCCAATACGTAAATTGGTCCAATTCTCTAATTAGATTGCTCAAGTATTGAAACCGCAATTATCCCAATTAAACCGATAACATTTTAGCGAATCCGTTCAAACAGGGCGATTCACATATAACCGGAGTCACATTCAAAAAAAATCCCACACAATCTAGCCTTAAACACACGATTAGATCTGGTCCCAATCCCAGATCTAGAACCCCAAACCAAGCGATCACTCTCTTTTCTTCTTCTTTTTTTGCCCTAAACAAACGATCAGATCAACTCTCATCTTCTTTTCTCTGCCTCTCCGTGGCAAGTGTTGTGGCGATGAGGTTCATTCAAGACCAGTCAAAAGCTCCGATCTATGATCTCTTATCACCACCATTTACTTTTTTCTCTATTCATCACCTATCGTCACCATCACCATTAACAGTGGCTGCAAAAGTAACCCAGAAGTGCCAATTACAAGCTTGGTGGAGGGTTCTCATAGGAGCAATTTGATATGGAAGACAGAAGTAGGAGTGACGAAAAGTAAAACCAAAATTGGGTTGTTTCTTTGTATGAATTCCTTTTAATGGCAGTGAACAACAACTCTGTCTTGAAGGGATGGTCAAGCTTGTAAATTTTTTACTATTCAATTGCTTTAATTTATACTAATAAGATAGAGGCAAATTCAAAATTTTCAAATTGAAATCAACTCCATCAATTTAAAAAACAGAACAATGATTAAAATTTAATTGAAATTTAATAAACGATTCAAATTTCATCTAAACTCATCTAATTATATCTAATGACCAATAATCTATCCCACTCAAATTTATTCTGCCGCTCACTTTAACAACACACACGCCCCCATAAGAAAAAGCAAAACCCAGCTGACCCATCCCATCCCAGGCGTCCATCTCTCTCTCTCTCTCTTAGGCGTCCAACTGATACACATAGAGAACTCCTCCTCTGCCATGGCTAAACCAACATCAAAGATATCCTCTCTCTTGCCCAGGTACACCTCTCTTTCTCTCTCTCTCACGACACACACACAACATATATTGAACCCACAAACACCAGCAACACATAGCGCACACACACATAAATTGATTTGATGATTTTATGTGTAATTTGAGTCTTCATTTTGGTTTGAAATTTTGGATTTTTTTTTCAAATAAATTCCGAGCATTCGACCGGAAGTTGTGAATTAAAGCCCTAGAGTTGGAATTGGGCTGCGAAAATTAGGGGATGTGGTGATTCGATGAGACTGTGATGCCGCGGACCTAATTTTGGGAAGATCTAGGGTTTGGTGAAGTAAGAATTGGGAAATTTTACAGTTCAGTTAATGGAGAATTAGGGTTGGGGATTGATGGTAGTCTTATCTGTAGAAGGTGAATTTGGGAAAGATGCAAGGCGATTATGCATGGGAGGGGAGATGATGACAACAGGAAACAGAGCATTAATGGGCACATGCGGTCGGTCCCCAAGACAAAGAGGATTTTGCTGTAACATCTACTGAGAATTCTTTCTACAAGGCATTGCCTTGAAGGGTTTTTCCGTTGTTTTAATTTCATTTCTTATTGATTGATTCATGGGTGTACTTCTAATGTAAAGGTTTTTTTCTTTTTGATTTTTCCGTTTTTGTCTTTATGATAATAGCTCATTATGGAAAATAAAATGACAAATTAAATAGTGTGTTTTTATTTTTGTTTTCTATAATTGGCACCGTTAATTCATCCATTTTTTAATTGCTTTGGATAGAGAGGTGTTGGTGATGTGTAGGACATGCATGAAGAGTGAATTTTTTTAGAATGGTCCATAAACAATTTTCATAATTCCTTTCAATTAAATTATTTATTTTTCAAAACTAAAAGTTTGTAAAACAATTTTTAGATTGGTACATAAATAATTTTATATCAATTTTGCACTCTAACGTTGGGTGTTAATTTTAGTGTTTTTTTAAATGCTAAATTGGTTTCGACTATTATAATTTTGTTAGCTTCAAATTAGCGTCAAATAATGAAGATTTTGTGTCAATTTTTTTTATTAGCGTTTTCTTACGTTAAATTGATTGTTTTTTTTATTAAAGGAGGAAAAAAATGTCAAAATCATCGACAAATGCTAGATTTAAGGGAAAAGAAAATGTTACAGTTTGTCAACTGATATGATTTTTCATCCCATTTTTTCTCTACGGTTTTATGTGCATGAAAATGTTTATAATTTTTTTTTAATTTTGTTAGCTTCAAATTAGTGCAAATAATGAAGCTTTTATGTTAACTTTGGGTCCTTAATGATGTTTACTCCATTTACATGACATTTTTTTGGAGCTTTTGTGTGTGTTTGATCCTGATGATAGATTGTATATAATGTTGGATCCAAATGACAAAAATATTGAAATTGCAAGGGTCAACATCTTTAATGTAGGCACCTACAAACATTATGAGTTGTACATATATGTTAATATTGTTTTAAATATAAAAATCTATATGTATCAGCTTTGTGAATGATGTTGTATTTTAGCAATTTTTTCTCATTTTTTTTGTTTTTTTGTTGCATAATGTGATTCAATAATAAATCACTGTGAGTGCAGATCATATGATTATTTATAAAAATCAATTATTTAAATTTTTGACTGTACAAATTAGTTTATCTTATTAGACAGGATATTTGGTAAATAATTATAGATTTAAACATCTTAAGAAAAGAGATACGTTTAAGTAACAAATTAATAAAATAATAATGTTCGAATGATTTAGAGTAGCTTGCATTAATTATCTATAATAATAAGATAGAATCTAATTTGAATTCAAATTTTAATTTAATTTAAATTCATTTGAAAAAATACAAGAACAACTCAAATTCATTTTAATTTTAATTTTAACTCAACGGTCTAAATTTTATCTAATTTTTTTAATTGGATATAATGGTCCACATTACAAAAACAATTCCCGCCCAAATTAAACCCAACCCTACACACTACCCACCCCAAACCTTTAATGGCTACTCTCTCTCTCTCTCTCTCTCTCCTCCTGCAGACTGCTCACCAGTCACTCCTCTGCCATGGCTCATGGCTCAATCTACACGCTACCAACCTACACGCTACCCACCCCTACACTCTACCCAGACCCCTTACACCCCTTAGACTGCTCACCTCTCACTCATCTGCCATGGCTCAACCAACGTTCTCAGCGGCAGCACAACGGTGATCAGCAACAGCTCAGGTACAACCCAGGATCAGCGACAACCCAGCTGCGATCAACAACAACTCAGCCTAGGTACCTCCATCTCCATCTCCATCTCCCCCTCTCTCTCTCTCTCTCTCTCTCTCTCTCCAATCGTTCTCTCTGTCTCCCTCCCATGGAAGAATTAGCAAATGATTTTTGGGTTTGTGGGTTTGTGGTATTCGATTTTTGGGTTTGTGGAATTAGCAGCCTAAAGTTTTGGGATTTGTTGAAGTAGCAGTGGCAGCGGCTGAAAATGTTTGATTTGGTCATACAATGTTTTCATTGTTTCATTGTTGGGTTTGTGGATGATTCGGTCATAAAATGTTTTCATTGTTTCATTTGGTCATTGTTTCATTGTTTCATTCTGGAATTTCATTGTGGGTTTGTGGAATTTCTTCGCAAGTTTTGGGTTTGTGGATGGTTTCATTGTTTGATTCAAGCATTTCATGGTTTCATTGATTCAAGCATTTCAGCCTTTCCAATATCATTTTTTTGTGCTTTATATATATAACACAACCATTGTTTGATGAACATTTGAGCAAGAAAACTCTGATTTTCAAATTTTCTTTCCATCTTCCAAAAGGTGCTAGATGAACTCTTATGTAAGGCCACTTTGTGTTTGCGGTTTTCTCCCTAGCAATTAGTTGTTTTGGGTTCACATGACAGTTTTGTACTGATTATTGTGAATTTGGTTTTTTTTTCTTTTTTTTTTTTTGGGTTTTTTTTTTGTGAGTTGCTTTAATGATTTTTACATTCGACATGGTTTTTATAGGCCCCCTTAAGTTAGATTAATTTGAGTTTCAACACTCTCATGTGGGGGTAGAATTTTATAGTATAAATCATTTTAGAGAAAATTTATAAGATTTTGGAGAAAAACCAATAGTTTCTTAGTGCGGTTTGTTATCAAAGGTCCATCCTTTGGTTTGTGTCTAGTTCTACAAATTGTGCTCGAACCAATCACACACACACAAAACAGCACACACATCTGCACACAAACACACACTGCACAGCAGTTTTTGAATTTGGGTGTCTTTTAATTGGATGTCTTTTTTTTTAGGTTGTTAGTTTATGAAATAGGTTTATAGTTATGATGAAATATGTTTTTTTTTATTATGAATGTTAGGATGGAATGGATGTTGAGTTGGTTATTATTGAGTGTTCATGTTAAATACATGTTAATTGTATGAAATTTCATTGTAATTGATGTAAATCATTGTAATTTTACTGTATAATCACCATCGTTTCACCTGCACAATCATCGACCAATGGATGATGTCATTATTACCTCACCTATTTCAGAGTGTAAGAACTAAATCATTGACCGATGGAGTATGCACAATCATCAACCGATGGAGTACGAACTAAATCGTCTTTGTATAGTGTTACCTCACCTATTTCTCATGCCTTTTTTTTTTGCTTTTAAGTAGTGTTGTCTTACACCCCATACAATAATCTATAATAGAAGGAGAAAAAAATGTTTGATGCTTTAGTGAATGCCAAATTTAAGGCGAAATAAAAAGCAACCTCTTCTAGCCAAGAAATAAAAAATAAAGATTGTCAACTGGTATGACTATTAATTCTATCTTTTTTTTCTCAGTTTCTACAGTGGATTTAGACTTTACATCATTATGACTTATACACATGCTTTTGCAATCAACTTTATCTTTTAAACTTTACCCATTTCTTATTCTTGACCTTAGGTTCATTTTAAAAGTTTATCATCTATTTCTTGCACTTTATATGTTAGTATATTTGTTGGGGGGGGGATGATTTAGATTAAATTACTTTTAATCTATTTCTTGCACTTTATATGTACCTATATCAATCTAAATCATCCCCCCACTACGTACAAATGTGTGTGCTCATTTGTTTTTTTAGAGAATTCAGTGGAATTGATAACAATAATTATGTTGAATCCAACTAACGAAATAAAGTAAGAGATCTTATGTTTCGGATTTACAATTTTTTTATTTTGCCTCATATATTTTGATAATTTTTATATTTCAAAATTTTTCAGGTATACATTGAAGGATACTCGGTGTAAGCTATAAAAAAGATGAAGTTGTTTCTCTATTTGTGCATGTGTGTATTTTTTGTGTTCCGTCTTTTGTAAAGTTAACTAATTATACGTGGTTATGATAATTTTGGGTATATGGAATAATGGTTGTTATGGTGGTTGGGTATGTATTGATGATTGTGGTGGTATAGTGTGTTATAATGATTATAAGTTTTGTAGACAAGTTTAGATTTTTCTGTGCTTCTATTTTTAAAGGAAATTTTGCCAAAATTTCTTGAAATTAGTAAGGATTCGCTTGATGTTTTGGTGGTTTGATATGTGTTGATGATTGAATATGTATTAATTATTGTAGTGTATGGTGAATTATGATGATTGTTATGTCTGATTGTAAGTTCTATAGATAAGTTGTTTTAGGTTACAAAGAGTGCAGTATTTTTTGAGTTTTAATCTAATTTTTTGTTACGTCGTGCCTTCAGGCACGAGTAATTACTAGTGCTTTATATTATCTTGGAGATCCTTTTTTTTTTACGCATTTTCTCTCTCACATTATTGTAACTGAAAACTTAAACCCTAGACCAGAATTAGGCATTGTATTTTCTTACAGTACAACAAATTTTATCTTCTATGGCTGCAAGTTGTGATTGTAGGCTCATCATCCAGCTTCTATTGTAATTTTCCAGAATATATTCAACTTCTTGTGCTTTAAATCTTCATGGCTGCAGTAGCTTTAATTTTTGTTGGAAATTGCATTGTGTACATGTTGGATTTTTTTTTATTTGATCCACCATACATAAATAAAAGTATGTTATTGTCATAAATATCATAATTTTTTAGCCTATTTATTATTTTTTATAATTATTTTTATTAATTGAACCAATAATCCATTGACCCGATTCTTTTGTCGAATTGATGTCTAGGCCAGTTCTAATAACTATGATGAAAACCACAACCAGTACTGAACTGAGATGAAAACTCCAAAAAATAGCACTAAACTAGATTGAAATCACTAAACCGAGATGACAAGCACTAAACTAGAGCCAACTAGTGTCAAAAATTGTTGACCCAACACTAAGTCGAGTTGAATCAAGATGAAAACAACTAAACCAACATAAAAAACCACTGAATCGACACTAAATCAGCCTAAAAACACTAAATTAAAATTAAACCTAGATGAAAATCAGTTAACCAACATTAGACTAGGTTGAAAACCACTAAATCAAACTAGGTTTGAAAACACTAAATTGGGATAAAAAGTGAAAACCACTAAACCAGCAACAAATTAAGCTAAAAACACAAAACTGGTGGTAATTCAGGCTAAAAACACTGAACTGAAACTGATTCAGAATGAAAACCAATACCCAATTAATCCAAAAATTACCAACCAAACTTAACACACTAAAATCAATGCTGAGGATTAGGGATGGCAGTGGACCAGATAAAAATGGGTATTCGTCCAAATTCAACCCATTTAGATCGAGAATGACCATATGTATTGGACGGTAGACGTATACAGAGATACTCGTATAAACCCGTGCGGGGATGAAGGCGGGGATGGACTGACACTTACCCCTGCCCCGCCCCGCTTTACCCGTTTTAATTATTATTTTATATATATATAAATGTTTTGAATATAAATCTACATATTATTGAATGATTTTTCTTTTGAAAATTATTTTATTTTTTGATTTTTTTTCATGATTTTGGCTTGTAAAAGTGTAGATCTTTGTGTTTTTATATTTTTATATGTTAGATTATGTTATGTTGCATTATGTTGTGTTGTATGATATTGTGTTGGATTTACAAGAGAAATAAAATTTTAATTATGTTATATTGGATTATGTTGTAGACAAGGTTTTAATCATAGTTATCAAATCGTGTATTAGAAAACATATTGTATTTTAAAAATAGTGTATCGTATCGTGTATTGTAAGATACGGTACAATTTAAATAAATAATAAAAAAATATAAATACTTTTAAAAAAATCATACACTCATAAAAACATAGCATTTCATTAATACTCAACCAACTATTTAAGTCATCAACATAATCCACTACTATTATAATGCAAAGTTCACAACCATAGTTCACTAATTCAACCACTGTTTAAAATTAATCAACATTCAAAAAATTTTATACAAAATATATATATTTGACTTTGTAAATAAATTAATATCATTTCTTACTGCACAGGTCCACAGGTCAATGGAGACTGGGAAGAAGAAGAAGAAGGGAGCTTCAATGGAGTATCTGGAGAAGGAAGAAAGGAGTTTCAATGGAGCCTGGGCTTTGATGGAGGCAACTTAGATGAAAGAGATGCAGCTTCGATGGAGGCAGCTTCGAAGACCAGTGATCATCGATCATCCATAGTTGAAGGATCACCCACAGTCAAAATCTCAAACCACACACACGATCATCCACAGTCAAATTGTCAAACCCACAGTCGATCACCCCTATTCAATCACCCACAACGAAATTCCACATTCGAAATCCCACAGCTATCACCCACACTCGTTGTCGATGGCTGAAGGGAAAACCAGAGACCTCAGAAGCTCTGACCAGCGATGAGCGAACGATGAATATGAGAAATGAGGGATTTTATTTTTTTTTGCAACCCTAGCCACTGAAACGACGTTTCAAAAAAAAAATTAAAAATTTGCATGTATTGTGCGTATCGTAATGATACGTATCGTATTGTAAAAATGTATCGTGTATCAAACGATACAACCTAAAAACGATACATAATTACGATTCGTATTGTTTTAGACATGTATCGTACGATTTTAACAACTATGGTTTTAATTATATTATGTTGTAAATGACAAACTTTTAATTATGTTATGATATTCCAAAATTAAGTTGAATTATTTCGAATGTTAATTTATTTATGATTTTGGATTATATTGGTTTGTGCTTGAGCGAGTAGGGCGGATTGGAAGTGGGGGAAGAGGTGAAGGTGGGGGAAAGGGCTGGAATTACAAATTTACCCGCGAACGGGGATAGAGATAAAAATTATACCCGTTAACGGGGGTGAACCA